GGAAGGAAGGCAAGATGATAGAGATGAAGATGAAGACAAAGATGAGTGAGTAATAGAGAGGTTTCGTGTGCATTTCGGTAAGGATTAGTTATGTTTTACGAGTTGATCACGGATTGATATCAGTTAGAGAACCATTGAAACCTAGGGAGTACTGGACAGCCGCTGTTTCATCTAGTTTGGGAATCATCGGCAGTACGCACCCACTGGGATTCGAACCCAGGACCTTCCGGTTACAAGGCAAGCTCGTATACCATTCAGCCACTGGGGCCCAATTCAATGGCTCATGAATTCTAGCTTCTACCAATTCGTGATTTTGCGCGACCCCAACCATTGTCGTTGGTGGGACATCCATCCACACACGTGACATCTAATTGGACCTCACTGGTCACGACTTCTCACTAGAACTCAGGAAACTCCAACCTGTAGCAAGTCACTAGCGAGCATCATATTAACTTTCTATAGTTAGGTTTGTAAGGATTAGTTATGTTTTACGAGTTGATCACTGATTGATATCAGTTAGAGAACCATTGAAAACCAGGGACTACTGGACAGCTGCTGTTTCATCCTAGTTTGGGAATCATCGGCAGTACGAGCTTGCCTTGTAACCGGAAGGACCTGGGTTCGAATCCCAGTGGGTGCGTACTGCCAATGATTCCCAAACTAGGATGAAACAGCGGCTGTCCAGTACTCCCTAGGTTTCAATGGTTCTCTAACTGATATCAATCCGTGATCAATTCGTAAAACATAACTAATCCTTACAAACCAAACTATAGAAAGTAAATCAGACACCTCATTTTTCTGTGGTAAAGAGTTGGGGGTGGGTACATCAAAATGTGTCATCATTCCATGGAGTGTCTGATTGTTGTTTCGAGTCACGTAGGGAGGTACAGAGTCTCTTACTGGGGTCTTTGAAACGTTAAGGACCAATGGCGTGAGCCTATTGGAGAGATAGCTAGAAATCGTTGTCAGTAGTACAGATGCATTTGCTCTTCATGAACTCCCAGACTCATCATATTCTCATGAGCCATATACTTATTCTTCCTTCCTTGCATCTGCGTTCATTGTAGTTGCTATGGATTTTTCTGCTCTACCTTGGTGTGCTGTATAGACTGAGGCTACCTGAACTGTTGTACTTTTGTGCAAATGTCTACGTTGAAAACTCAGTTAGTTGTTGTACTGACTTTATGAAAATGTGGTGAATTTCACTGTTGAGACACCTCTGAGTTGTACCAAAGTGAGAAACTATGTTTTAAAAGACATTAGGTATTTTCGATCAATGAGAATATTAGTGTTTATTTGGTAAATAAATAAACAATGTGACTCAACCATCTAATTTATTCTCGTGTAACGGGAAGCAAGTGGACAGGAAGTCAGACAAATCACAATATTGAACGTCACTTCTGAGTGGTCGCAGTTTCACTTTTCACCTGTGATGTTGTTGGCAGATAGGTAATGAAGGAGAAGGTAAATTTAAAATACGACAAATGGTTATAGAACGCCATCAAATGAAACGATGATAGAGTATGTATGAATGCATCTGTGTCCGTGCGATTGATTTCAGCCATATATAATGAAACTTCAGTTGTGTGTTAGAGTTGATTTATGGACTTTAGCCACCATGGTTCAGACTAACGCTTAGGGACTTCGTGTCTTGTTCAGGATATCCTTGACTTACTTTCAGTGTAATTGTTTGACACAGGTCCTCCGTCCGTAACTGAGGTTACTAAAGCTGTCGCCAATCTGAAACAAGGCAAAGCAGCAGGACCTGATGGAATGACTACAGAGGTATTTAAGTACGGTGGAGACAGTTTACTGTCTGCATTAACTGAGGTTCTAAGCAGCGTCTGGGAATCAGAAGAAGTCCCATTGGGTTGGTGTAAGTCACTGATTATCCCCATATACAAGAAGGGAGACAAGTCTTCCTGTAATAATCACAGAGGGATTAGCTTGACTAATATAGTATCTAAAGTCTTAGGCTCAATAATCATGCGTAGACTGAGTGGTACTCGGGAGGGACAAACACGAGAGAGCCAGGCAGGCTTTAGACCAGGAAGAGGGTGTATTGATCATATCTTCACCCTCCGACAGATTCTAGAACATAGGAATTCCTACTAGCGTCAAACAGTCATTATATTTCTTGACCTAAAGGTGGCATTCGACTCTGCCGACCGAAAAGTTCTCTGGCGATGCTTGGCTGTAAAGGGAATTCCAAGAAAATATATTGCACTGATTAAGGCACTCTACTCGTACTCATACAGCCAGGTGAGGGCTTACGGCGAGTTGTCATCTGAACTGGTGACGACTAGTGGTGTCCGTCAAGGATGCCCATTATCTCCTTTTCTATTCAACTTCATCATAGATGTGTTAATGGACTTAACCCTAGGTGACTTCAGTGACTCAGGAATTGACTTGCTACCAGGGAGGAATAATCTCGTTGACTTAGAATATGCAGACGATATAGTCCTTCTAGGCGAAGACGCTGACAAAATGCAGAGTCTTCTAAACACCTTGAACAGCAATCTACGAATGTTTGGCATGCGATTCGCTCCCGCCAAATGCAAGATGATGTTACAGGACTGGACTATACCGACTCTTAGATTAGAAATAGGGAGTGAAGTGGTAGAGCACGTTGACCGCTTCACTTATTTGGGAAGAACCATCAGCCCCAACGGGTTGATCTCTGACGGAATCTCAGCACGAATACAAGGGGCTCGTTTCGCACTCGCCAGTTTACGCCATCTCTGGCGTAGACGAGATGTTCGACTATCGACCAAAGGGCGGGTGTACTGCTCATCAGTCCGCTCCGTCCTCCTTTATGGCTGCGAGACCTGGCCACTGAGAGTGAAAGACATGAAAAGACTAGCTGTCTTTGATCATAGGTGCCTGAGTTCTATCTCCGGTGTGAAGTGGCATAATAAGGTGAGCAATGTTGAGGTAAGGCATCGGTCGAGTGCTATTTGACGAGGGGAAATCAATAGATGAGGCTGTGAAGCTATATTGACTAAGATGGTTAGGACATGTGTTACGTATGCCTAGTCATCCCCTTCCTCGACAACAGGCGATGTTAGCTGATTGACATAGGATGGATCGGGCTGGAAAAAAGCTAGCGGAGGTCAAAAAAAATCATGGCACCAGTCAACGAAATCTACAACAGTTAGTCAAGCCTCACAGGAAGGTGTAGACTTCCTGGTTGGGGTCCTCGGGACGGTAAAAACCAGTGGTTGGAAACAATTGGTGACATGGCTCAAAGTCGTCCTCAATGGCTAGCGCAGACGCATCCACTCTTTGTGACTTATGATTTCCAGTGAAACTATATTGATCTTCTTTACTACTATTCCTTTGTCTCACACCTCTGCTTACTGTCTCTATTATGCTTTTCTTGTACTTTCTTCTCTTGCTTCGCGTGCTGCATGGAGTGTGGCGACTTGAACTGGTGCACATATGTGCAAAGTTCTATATCGAAAACAGACAGACAGATAGTAATTGTTTCAGTTTATCTAGAAAATCTATAATTCATCAATTGTAACTGATTTCCCAGACACTTCAGTCAGGGGAGACTCCAGTTATCTATATAATGGGAATTTTATATAATCTACGGCTGTGCAATAGAGACGTACAACATTGTTTTCTAACTTAAAATTTCTTATTGTGTCGCTGTAGAATAGTAACGTAGGCTATTGCTCAGAACATTCACTCCTTAATACGTAGTCAGACCTGTCATCGACGTCAGAGGTGGTGTGAGTTGGTAAATACCGAATAAGCCTTTCAGCTGCAAGCAGTTTTGAAAACATTCGGTGGATTCTCATTTCTTTGGAACCGCATGTGTAAATGAATTTTTCATGGTCAATATAGAAAAGCCACATATCAATTCAGATATTTAAATCGTCACTTAATTCCTTAGCATATATATATATATATATATATATATATATATATATATATATATATAGTAGCCGTTTTTTGTTTTGGTATTTCAAATAGCCTTGTGACACAAGCTTTCAGTTTGTTTCTCAGAATTCATGTGTAGGGATTCCACTTATGTAAAGTACTTGGTACAGTTTAAAAGATTTGCTGTTTGTCATTTTTATTATGTGGTGAATTCAGAGTGAGTGTAAAAATTCTAGTTAGTGTTTTGACAATGTTCTGGTAAGTACATCATATCTATGATTCATGTGTTTTATCTGTCCGTTCATGCCTAGCCTAAGGGACTTTGAGTTAATACTAGGCAGTAACTAATGTTATGCGTCCAGTACCCCGTTTTCAGTGCAGACTGAATTTTATCAATCACGTTTGCAATGTAGCGTCTCTGGATTATTGTTAAATGGTTGGAAGCCATCAGCAGAAAACTTTGAACTTTAGTCTCTTTCTTGTTGATACTTGTCAACAAGGCGTTTCTAGTGTCCTATCAAAGCATGTTTTACAGTCGTACATGGGGTCAACTGCGAATAGCTCAGTGGTAACTTCTCTAACCCTGGTTTGAATCTGGGAGGGTATGTGAGTTCCTTCAAGATTGCAGATACACACCACTGAGGAGTGCCAACGAGTGCGAAATCTGGTGGCAGGGCTTTCTGCTTCTTGTCTCCGACCATTTAAGAACTTAACAGACTGTAGCGAAAGTGGTACTTACGTGAAAATAGGCTAAACTGCTTTTTAATCCTGAGTCCAATGTGGTGAAAGTGTTGCTTCTATCTTAAAACACAAAAGCCGATATGATTGATGTAAATAGACTTGCTAACTAAAACTGGCATTTATAACTGTGTCTGCCATATTTAGAATGAAAAGCATTACTTCTGTATGTTGCTTACGTATTACTTTCCAGAGAGAAGGCGCTTCGAGGCATTAAAATCCTACGGAGTAGACTACACAAATATGGAAATGGATTAACACTAAATTTCTGAGAGAAAATATTAAAAAACAGCCGGTGGATGTTGCCATTGGAAGTTAATAGAAGGATAGCACTAACATGTTTCTTGAGCTAGTGCTGTGTGAAGTTATCTTGATGATAAGTGTTCATTAACTATCAGGTATTATCAACGGATTATGTGACTTTTGAAATTGACGAAACGTTTTAATTTTAGACTTATGTTACTTACTTTATCATAGAAATCGAAAGAATAATAGAATCATCACAGGACTTGCCACTAAATCAAATTACTCCCAATTGTCATATGAAAGAGAAAATAATCTAAAGTAAAACGAGCAAGAATGATATCACTAAAAGGTGTGGAGTACTCTAAAAAAAGTAAAGACCTGTGATATTGAAAAGATAGACTGCAGAAACATATGCATCACAGGGGTTGATCGTGAGCCATATCACTTGAGTTCTGTAGCATTTCGAGGACGTGACCCACACGTCTGAGGTCACCAGTCAGTGGTCCCTTCGGGTTGACTGCCATGTCTTTGTTCAATCACTACAGCCTGTTTCTCATACTAGTCCTACTTTGCCTAATATTATCGGTTGAATAAAGGCGGCCTTTTGGTATGAACAACGGCTATCATAATGAGTATATATATATAGTATAATATTGTATTACTAAGTACGCTTGTGATTCCTTTTCAGACTTCTATGGTTTATTGATTAAAAACGATGAAGATGAAATCCATAACCGATAACGTTGTAAAATATAGTAAGTTACCCATGCAATTATCGTTAATTTCTTCATGTTATTCCCGATAACTGAATGTAGCAAAAATATTCATTCAGACCTTTTGAAGACAAAAGGGAATTCAAGTCCTTAATTTTTTGCAGAGATTTCCTTAATTTTATTTGATATTCTATTTACTATCCCATTTCTATGCTCATTATAACTTATACATCCTTGTGGAACTGTAATTTCATTGTGATCTTAACCAATAGATATCACCTAAAAGCACCAATGTTGTTAATGACGATAATTCTAGAATATCCTATATATATGCATGCATAATTGTAAATTCAGGAGAGGAAATTATCCGAAAGAATATTGTTTGCTCGAATTTTCTTCTGTCTTGTGATTGCATAGTTTGTTTTGTAAATGAATTCAAAATTTTCTTTCTATTTCTTTATTTGCGTTGTGTGAGAGGTAACTTACTATTGTGTCAAGGTGAAGCACTGTTAATGATTGGCATACATCTGACCTTATCAATCAGTAATGTCTGAAGAATAGTAGTAACTGAAGTGGGGGAGTGAGATGATGAAGGTGATGTGGGTAAAGGAGAATGATGCTCGAGGAGGCTTTGTGTGCTCTTGGAAGTGTGTGGGTGTTTGTTACTTCCCGGCTGCTCACATCATGGAAGTTGGTTGATTCTTCGGGTACCTGAAAGAGAAAGAGGGTTAGTGTTGCGTGACTGCATAGCTCAGGGGACAACTGCTTGAGGCCGGTCACATACGGCCTGTATGAACTTGTTTCTGGGATTGGTTCCGTATTAGTAAACTTACCGCCGGTTACGGATCACCGTAGGGTAAGTCGGGAAGTACAATTGTTGGGGTTGACCATTTGCAACCCCGTCTCTTTAGAGTGGAGAGACAGCATACATGGCTGGCATTCTGGTCATCTGAGGGAAACACCTCACTGCTGTTACACCTTGTTTCTAAGTAATACGTCTTCGCCCACAGACCCCAGCATAGTGTGAAAAAATCCTTACACGATACCGGTAACTGCTTTTAGTCTAATTGTTATCCTAACAACTTTCCTGGCATGGTAGGACCTGCAGGAACAATAGTTCCAGCCAGTGTGGCTTGGTGGTTCATTGCAATGTGCAAGCCCGACCACCACGTCAAGATAGCAGCTATCAGTCGGGAATCAGTGATGTATATTGTATAGCTTCATACGCCCGTAATCTTGCCGTCATTTGTAGTGTAAAACAGCTGATGTCCTACGATTTGGATACTTTCAGTTACTATGGTGAGGTGAGCGAAGCTGTAGCTCCATTGGTCTAGGCGCTGGAATTCCAATCAGTGGATCACAGGTTGGAAATCCCCACTACCTAACAAGCTTTGAGTAGCCTGGCAGTCTCACTATCCCTCACACAATATGTGTGACTCGTCATCTGCATGGAATTGCAAGTGGATGTTGAGTAACATTTCATGGGGAGATGATTCTTGTTTGTGTGACTGAAATGACGGACTTATCAAAGTAGAACCTCGCACAAAAGTGGAGAATTTCAGTATGTCTCACTTTAAGAGTCACTCACTGAAGTAGTAAAAATACAATAAAAGTGTTCTGTTTTTGAGATATTTTATTTAAATAAAACAAGAACAACAGTTTGTGCAGAAGATAAGATGGCACTATTATTCGCTTCGTTGGCTTCTCATCATCTGCCTACAGCCGAAAGAAATTATTAATTTTATGTACAGAACATTTCTGAAATACTTGCATAGGTTGTATGATGTCAGTTGTTCGAAAAGCTATAAGTGAACCCTGATCAAAACTCTGTTTAACAGAGTCAGTAGAATATGCTCTACAGGGAAATTAGAAGAAGAATTTCTGATTCTCGAAAAGACGTTGAGCAACACCAGTTACTCTCAGGAATTCATTCATAACAACAAGTACAGAAGATGGGAAGATTCAAATACCAAACAAATTATGATGGGGTGGGGGGAAATTCATATTCATCCAACTTGACTTTAAAGGTAATGATATTGCGGAATAGTAACAGAAGATTGATTGCCTCACTAGCTAGAATCAATCCTGCAGCCAAGTCTGTTCTAGTTTTTCGGTCCCCATGCTCTTTGGTGTACTCGAAATTCGCCAGATACCTTTCCATTGTTAACTCTAACGTGTATCTGCGGAAGCAGTTGGATTGGGAGAACAGAAAAAGGGCACACCGATTTCTAAACATGTACGAAAAAGCTTAATTCTCAAGGAAACAAAGGTTTACAATGGTGCCATTAGCAGACATAATCTCACTAAATCCTTTGAAATTATCAATAAACAAAATAGTTGAATAATACCCTTCAAGTTTGCCGAAGCAACTGCCATCAAACGCCTGAGACCCGATTTATGTGTTCAGAAAGAAGCATTTATCAGTCATTCCGTGACCTAGTAACCTGACCTCTTTATCTCTGTCTTTCGTTTGATTACGTAGTCTTTGGGTTTAACCTCTCCCCTCTTCGATACAGTGTAACTTTGCTTGTCTCATGTTTTCATGATTTAAATTGAGTTCACCATATTGTTGCTCAAATCACCAGTCCCTCATCATTTTATTCACCTCTTGTCTTTATTGCTTAACTCTCTTGTCATTGTATGCAAGGTTTTGTTTAAACTTATGGGTATAAACTATAAGTGCCATTATCTGAGCACCGTTTGCTAAGCTTGAAGTCTTATCAACTGACATTATGTAACGTTTGCAAGTATGTTTAAATTATTTGTATATAAATGTAAAAATTTCCTTAGACTGTATGCAGCTGCTGGGAGGTCAATGGAATGATGGTACCATCTTATTCTGCACACACGGTTGTTCTTGCTTCATTCAAATTCATGAAAAATCCATAAAGAGGAAGAATAAATATATATCACATATTTTATTGACAGAAGTTAAGGTTCATCGGCCATCGGATTCCTAATTGTCTGAATTGTTAACAAGCTTGGCCTCATAATTGAGAGGTCTCGGATTCGATCGCGTATGGGGTTGTGGGCTCTTTACGTTGAAGTCTCGAACTAGGACGAACCAGCTGTCTAGCACTCCTTGGTTTTCATTGGTTCTCTATGTGATATCAATCCATGACCAAACTTGAAACAAATCAAACCCCGCAGACTAAATTTTGAATATGAATCTGGTATTCGCTAGCTACTGATTACGGTATGAATTTGCTTGAAGTTCTAGTTAGACATCATGACCAGTGGTGTCTGTCAGGTCGGGTGTGAAGACAAATACTCGCTTATACATCGTTAGGCGGTCGCACTAAACTCGCGAATCGACAGGAGTTAGAATTTGTGGGCCATTAGATTCTGTTATAAGCGGCTGAATGGTCAGCAAGTTTGACCATGTAACTCCCAAACGTCATGGTGAGTTCGATGTCAGATGAGGTCATGGTTGCGTGCTGATGATGATTCCCGAGCTAGGACGAAACAGCTATCCGGCACTCCTTGATTTTCACTGTTTCTCTAATACACATCCTACTTGAGGTAAATCGAATCCGTACAAATTAACCGTTGAGAGAATTTTTATTCTAGAACAAATTATTTGAGCAACTCGAGATTGTGAGTTGACTTTAATTATTCTTATTATTTCTTCCAGATGATGAATTATTCATTAAATGTAAATGGGGTGATTGCAATCAGTTGTTCCCTAATTATACTCGTCTTCATGTTCATTTAATGAGATGTCATATAAAATATGCAACGCATATTTGTTTATGGAATGATTGTCAAATGAATACTCTTCAAGATCATCTGCAATTATTACGTCATGCATTGTTACATGCATTTTTTGAAGATTGTATAGTTAATACCAATAAACTACTTAAATCTCATCATGAAACATGGAGTTTTGTCTGCTCTGGACCCAGTTATCAAAAACCAGCTTATCGTCAACGATCAATAGACACATTCTTATCAAATCCTGTAATTTTACAGGAAGGTTTCCGTTGTCAATGGAAAGATTGTCATTACGTGTAAATTCTGTTGGTTTATGTTATTTAATTGTTTTATGCTGTTATTATTAGAGTTCATGTTTTGTTACTATTATTATTGTTGTGTGTCGAGGTCAGTCAGTGAATCATTGAAAATTTAGCATCAGTTATAATAAGTGTTTTATTCGATATAGTTTCACGCAATTCCTTGTAATCCGCATCTATAATCCCTAGAGGGAGGATAGATGAAGTTAAAAACCTAATTGAGTTATTTAATAGAAATTCATTGGCCGATGTTTCTTTTTCATATGCGATTGATCTGCTGACTGACTAATTGACTGTATTTTCAACGTAGAATTATGCACAATCATGTTAGCAGTTCAAATTGTCAAACTGTATAAAAGCGCAAATAATGGTGATAAAATTGAGGAAAGAAATGCACATGTACTATCATAAATAGAAGTTTACGAGCGAAAAAAGAAAATAATTGCATGAAATATAATGAGAATTTAGTGGATCTGGGAGTTTATAAAGCGTGAATACTCACTCCTGCACCACTGAGAACAATTTTGTGCTACTTCACCAGTTGTCTCAAACCATTGGTTCTGAGCGTCTCTATTCCTTCAGCCAGGCAGTCTACACCTTTTGACGTGGTTGGATCGAATCAAAAGTCCAAGACACTTGATTGTGATGAATGGTAGGTTTTGATTTAATTACCCCTTATTTATTATTTACTTATTTAAACGCAGAAAAAACTTGGTACAGTGTGGCACCAAGATGGAAGCGCCACACAATAATAATAATACAACATAGATCAAAAGTGAAAAAAATATAAGTGAAGAACGGATAAAGAACTTCATCTGGAAGGAAAACAGTCATGCTTAACAATTTCAAACAGTATTCGTTAAATACCATCGGGAAGGGAAGAAAGAAAGAAATCGCAGCACGTTCGCCATTGATTACGAATCTTGGCCGTATCCGATAACGTTTCGAGCCATCGATTCGAGCTGTCTCGCGGACTCCAACCAGAGAGTTGTGACGCACCAACCGATGCTAGTCTAGCACAAACATCCTTCATCCCACGGCGCCACGTCATGGACTGACCATCTCTCCGCCTTTTCCATTTCGTCCCAGGGCTAGCTAGCGAACAGAGACCGGTACGGAAGCCTCTGGGATGACACTCGCAGCACATATCTAAGCCAACGGAGCCGGTGTTTCCAGATGACGACACTCAGTGAATGGTGATCTCCACTGTGTTCAAACACACGCCACCGAACCTCAAAATTATTCATGCGATGATTCCGTCGAACGCAAGCAGTCCTGCGGAGATAGCCATGACCGAACACACCGAGTCGCTACACATCCTCAGCGCGGAGGGGCCAGGTTTCACAGGAGTAGAGCAGGGCAGCCCGCACCGAAGCATTGTATACCCGACCTTTGACAGCCAGGCTAACGTCGCAACGGCGCCAGAGGTGGCTCAAGTTGATGTATGCCACCCTAGCCTTCATTATACGGTTGGAAATCTCATCCGTCACCCCTCCGCCAGCGCTCACACAACCACCCAGATACACAAACTTATCAACAACTGCAAGCGGTTCACCCACAAGAATAAGTGCAGGTACACGCTCCTGCCAATCTTGTAACAGTACTTTGCACTTAGACGGCGCAAAGCACATAGCATACTTACAGACGTCGACCGCCAACTGATTAAGTGCAATTTGGGTAGCCTGCATGCTATCGCACAGTACGACGATATCGTCTGCATACTCGAGGTCGAAAAGTCTATCTTCAGGTAGCAGATCTGCACCCTCCGACAGATTCTAGAACATAGGAATTCCTACCGGCGTCCAACAGTCATTATATTTCTTGACCTAAAGGCAGCATTCGACTCTGTCGATCGGGAAGTTCTCTGGAGATGCTTGGCTGTAAAGGGAATTCCAAGAAAATATATTGCACTGATTAAGGCACTCTATTCGTACTCATACAGCCAGGTGAGGGCTTACGGCGAGCTGTCATCTGAACTGATGACGACCAGTGGTGTCCGTCAAGGATGCCCATTATCTCCTTTTCTATTCAACTTCATCATAGATGTGTTAATGGACTTAACCCTAGGTGACCTCAGCGACTCAGGAATTGACTTGCTACCAGGGAGGGAATAATCTCGTTGACTTAGAATATGCAGACGATATAGTCCTTCTAGGCGAAGACGCTGACAAAATGCAGAGTCTTCTAAACACCTTGAACAGCAATCTACGAATGTTTGGCATGCGATTCGCTCCCGCCAAATGCAAGATGATGTTACAGGACTGGACTACATCGACGCCTAGTTTAAAAATAGGAAGTGAAGTGGTAGAGCACGTTGACCGCTTCACTTATTTGGGAAGTACCATCAGCCCCAACGGGCTGATCTCTGACGAAATCTCAGCACGAATACAAGGGGCTCGTTTCGCATTTGTTAGTTTACGCCGTCTCTGGCGTAGACGAGATGTTCGACTATCGACCAAAGGGCGGGTGTACTGCTCATCAGTCCGCTCCGTCCTCCTTTATGGCTGCGAGACCTGGCCACTGAGAGTGGAAGACATGGAAAGACTAGCTGCCTTTGATCATAGGTGCCTGCGTTCTATTTCCCGTGTAAAGTGGCATAATAAGGTGAGCAACATGGAGGTTAGGCGTAGAGTTCTAGGTAAACAGGGGAAATCAATCGACGAAGTCGTGAAGCTACATCGACCGAGATGGTTAGGACATGTGTTACGTATGCCAAGTCATCGCCTCCCTCGACGAGCTATGTTAGCGGATATAGGGTCAGGCTGGAAAAAAGCTAGCGGCGGTCAAACAAAAACTTGGCATCAGTCAATGAAATCCACAACAGTTGGTCTTAGCCACGTAGAAAGGTGTAGACTTCCAGGCTGGGGTCCTCGGGATGGTAAAAATCTATGGTTGGAAACAATTGGTGACATGGCTCAAAATCGTTCTCAGTGGCGCAGATGCATCCACTCCCTGTGACTTATGATCTTCAATGAAACTGTTTTGTATTTCTTTATTACTCCTTTGTCTCACACCTCTGCTCAATGTCTCTATTATGCTTTTCTTGTACTTTCTTCTCTTGCTTCGCGTGCTACACGGAATGTGGCGACTTGAACTTCCGCACATTTGTGCAAAGTTCTATGTCGAAAACAGACAGACAGACCTTCACACACATCCTTCAGAACTGACTCCAGAATGTCATCGATGGCAAAGTTAAAGAGAAATGGAGAGATCAGGCAACCCTGTCTAACCCCACTGTTGGTTGGGAACAGTGATGATAGTTGGTTGTTTGCCCTCACTCTACCCGAGGTGTTTCTGTATAGGGCTTTTAAGATGTTAACAAATTTCTCAGGTACACCTCTCTCTAACAGACAGTTCGAGAGCACAGTTCTGTCCAACGAATCGAAGGTAACCCTAATATCAAGAAACACAACGACCGTTGGCCTGCAATAAGTGTAGCGGTGTTCCAACAACTGACGAAGGGTGAGCACATGGTCAATGCATCCACGACCTGAACGAAACCCGGCCTGCTCTTCACGAGTCAATTCCTCTTGTTTTGCACAGCCTGCGAAGCAAGACGGCAGACAATATTTTAGACGCGACTGGTAGCAGACTGATACCCCTATAATTGTCACACGAATTACGTCGGCCCCTTTTAAAGATGGGAATGATAATGACTTCGTTCCACATTGATGGTACACTCTCAGTCTCCCATACCTTCCTGAACAACCCAGTTAGACCCATTGTAAGAGTCTCGCCACCATCTTTAAAAAGAGCTGGGGGTAGATTGTCTGGGCCGGGCGCCTTATGGCGTTTCAACACTTGGAGTTCCTTACGAACCTCCGCTTCGGTGGTGGGTCGGTACTAACCGACCAAGGAGCACTGGGGCTAAGGACAGAAGATACTGAAGCTGGTGGCCAGCTAAACTGTTTCCCGAAGTGTTCTGCTCAGCGTTCCAGGCGTCTTTTCAGGCTGGTAATTGGCGTGCCATCTGCCTCACAGACCGTCTCGCTAACACCTTGTTTCTTGCTGCCGGTGGCTCGAATGAGTTGGAACAGCTTCCGACTGTTGCCAGACGCAGCAGCTGACTCCATCTCACACGCACGTTCTGACCACCAGGCTTCGCGGTCCTTACGTAAACACTGTCTAATCTTGCGCGTGAGCGCCTTTCGCTTATTGTTGTATTCGCGGCCAGCCGGAATGGACCGGCGTTCATCCAGGAGTTGCAAGGAACTCGCAGAAAGCCAGTGGTTTTTAGCGCAGCATTCTCTCAAGCTGCAAGCGGCTACACTCGCCCTTTGCATGGCAACTTGCACATGAAGCCAATGTTCATCTATACTACTTGAATGGTTGCTGGCAAGCATTGATTGTAACTCATTCTGGTATTTCAAAGTAGCAGGTGCTACTAGTTTGCTCACATCAACGTTTAGACGACGCCTTTTATGAACCCCACCAAATCGCAAGACGAACTTGGCACACACTAACGCATGATCGGATTCCAGGTATGTGCTCTAGAAGGAGCGACAGTCTTGTATGCATCCTCGCCACCGGAAACTGACAGCAATATGATCAATCTGAAACCAAGCTTGAATCTCAGAGGGAGGACGCCAGGTAGCACTACGGTGCTGGATAGAAATAGGTTGTGATCCGCGCAAAACTGCAGAAGACGGTCCCCATTATCTGGTCTGTGACCATGCAGGCCCCATTGACCACCTAGGCGATTCTCCTCTGAGCTTAGACGCCGGATTTGTGCATTCAAGTCCCCAGCCAGCACTACGACATCTCTCCGACCTACCTGTTTCAAGAGATCGCTCAGTTGGTGGTAGAACTCATTCTTCATTGCATCCGGGTTGCAATCCGTCGGTGCATAGGCAGAGACAACAAATAGACACCGCCTATCTGGCCTACTACTCCTTACTTTCGTATAACCTTCCAGCCTCACAGCACATAAACGACTGTTAATGGGAATCCAGTCGAGCAAAGCAGCTTCGGCTCTAGCGCTCAGTGTGACACCGACGCCAGCTACGCCGGATGCCGACGCCACAGGGTCCGCGGACAAGCGCAGGTGGTACATACTACTAGAAATTCCAGATGGAAAGGATAATCGAAGCACTTCACTGGGATCTTGAATGCGGGTCTCCGTAATGCAGCAGACATCGATAGCCAGGCTTTTCAGTGTTCTTACCAACCCTGCCTGTTTTCCGATTTGCATCAGCGTCCGAATATTGTAGGTGGCCAGCTTGAACGCGGCACACGGTTTCAGGATATCTGTGTTGGATGTCACATTGAGGACAACCATTTGGAGGGTTACTCACTAACATCTCGAAACGACACAGATAAGCTGGGAATCCAGACAAAGGCGAAAGGCCGTCGAAGGTTAAGAAGTCAAGGTTAACAAAGGTAAAATACAGGAATCTAAGTATAAAAATAAAAGTAAGTTGAGAGGACATAAGTTGTTTGAGGCATCGTTATTACTTGAAATCATTTTTACGAGCGTGCAGAGAGTTTCAATAATAGTTTGTTGTTTTATTTCATTTGTTGTGCGAGGGCTGAGATACTACCCGGGCGCCTAGACCGAAGCAGGTGGTTTCCTAAGGGACCCCCCCGAGCCTTTGACTTGGAGTCTAATCCGCAAGGCAGCGGAGCAGCGTCAGGAGCTGCATTCCCATGGTTTCCGGTGACCCATATGAGTTCATACGCCATTTGATCTGATTGGATTCTGGGGCCCTTGTACCCCATGGTAACTGCTTCTAGTCTTACCGCTATCCAAACAACCTTCCTGACATTGTAGGACCTGTAGGGACATGAGTTCCAGTCAGTTTAGCTTGATGGGCCACTGCGGTATGCAAGTTCGACCACCACGGCAAGGTAGCAGTTGTCGGCCGGGCACCCTGATTCTTTTCCAATCCAATCTTATATTAGTCAATATTTCTCGACGAGGAAGACTATGGCTTGCCATGCGTAACACGTTTCTTAGTTGCCTCAATAGATGTGGCTTCATAACTACATCTATTAACTTACCCTCATTACCTAACACTACAACTGGTCTCATTACTACCCATCGCACTATGCCACATAGCACTGTAGATAGACTGCAGACATCTATGATAAGAGACTGCTAACCTCCCTATATCTTTTAATTTTCGACGGTCGCAATAAGCAGTTGTAAAGAAGGACGCAGTGGACGATCACTATTATATGTCATGGATGAAATCCGTGAGCACTGTAGTCGTAGTTAGTTGACTAGTGTATCTTATTAACGGTATATATGATAATTCACCAGTCTGTTTGTCATGCTTTTTATGTGAGGTGTTTTGATAGTATGTAGTTATCGAAACTGGGATCTAAGAAGCACAACCTGTATCCTTGATGCTTGGGGTTATGATGGTACACCTCCACCTCAATTGATTATGTGGATAACCCGAGTTCTATAAGGCATCATCACGCTCTGTATTTGTTGTCATCATTTCAAGACAATTAAATCATATTTTTACGAACGCATATATATTTTTTCTTGTTGTAATTTGGTTGGCGGTGGCTAGTAGTGGAATGAATTTGAATTCGTTCATCGACTAACTGCCCCTTCACCTCAGTGAATTATGTTATCTCTTGGGACTGTAGGTCTGCTCTATCGTATTGCATGCCCTGTGTTGTTGGATGGACAAGAGCTGAATTTTCTCTGAGCTACTGCTTTATACTAAAATGGGTTAAGATGTGCCTGATTGACTTAATCTGTGGAATTCCAGGTAGTAGAACTCTGGGTTCGAATCCATTCTCACCAACTTCAATCCTATCATCTGCATAGTAGCATCTACGTTTAGTCATGAAGTGTATAACCGATAACCTAGTGTGGCGTAATGCAGGTTGATAGGAAGCGGCGAAAATTGAAGTCAACATTTTAACTCAATGGCTGGAGAGGACGAAGTGTCTATTCCGTAAATCTCGATTTGGTTAACTTTGTGGACATGAAATGCTATTATTGGACAACTTGTCGAATCTTGGGCCAATTGCCAACCAATCCGAATGATTTGTTCTTTTCTTATCCAGGCAAACTTAATGTGGTTAAGAAAGTATAAATATGCTGTGCTTTTTCTTAATAAACTTGCGTTATGCAGTCTGTTATCTGCTCTCGTTGCACTAGTATATGAACAGTGTGCTCTGCATTTCTGAGTGTTTAACTAACCATTATTATCTATGATTTCCTTCAAATTTGGTCACGTATTGATACCAGTTAGAGAACCATTGAAAACCAAGAAGTACTGGGCAGTTGATTTGTCCTAGTTCGGACTCTTCAGTGGTAAGTGCCCGCGAACCCCTAGGGGGCGAACCCATGACCTTCAGGTTACACAGGCCAAGGTCATTGACTATTCAGCCACTTGGCTCTGTATCCAGTGACCCGTGAATTCTACCTTCTGTCGACTCCCGAGTTCAATTTTTTCCATTCATAATTTTAGTTAATAGTTATGATGATATCGGTTTTGTTCATTTATTTATTTTCTTTAAAATTGTTTTTTCTTTTTTCAGTACAGATGTAGCCGTCTTATATGTAGATCATGTTTTTCAGCATGATTATTCGGACAAGCATAGTGATGATGATAATGACGATGACGATAGTGATGATGAACGCCATGAAGATAGTTCTCAGTTAATTTGTTTATGGCAATCATTAGATAATGATAAAAGAAATAATTCAACACAGTTGAATACTTGTAACTTTGTATGTAATCGTCGTCCGGTACTTCGTCATCATGTGCGTCGTCATACTGGATTACCAAATTACATTTGTTCTAGCTGTCTGACTTGTTTTACAGAGTTTGCTAATTTCAAAGAGCATTTTATATGGAGTTTACTTGGAGATCAGCAGAATGCGATACGATATAATGAGCCAGGTATTCCATTGTTATTGTTGTTTTTCTTAAACTTATACGCTGATGCATGAACACCAGTTAGTGTTTAGTCTGTGCTATGCCTTTAAGCAACATTACTTTATTATTAAAACACAAACTTGGTACATTATGGATACCGAGAGATGCACCCCATAATATCTCTAGTTTTTCCAAGGGTTGGTGTACTTCCCAGATGCGTAGACTAAATCCAGTAGTTATCATAAGGGTCTGACCTCCGAAACCTTGACCTAATGTCTGATCCAAAAGACAGCAAAGCAGCATCGGTAGGTGTGTTTCCATGGTTTCCAGTGAACAGAACAGGTTCATCGTGTTCAGATACAGCAGTCTGGTTGTGTAGGCGCTAGACGTTTTCATTCAGCTTTTCACTTTTGTGAGGAATATCCACCCCGTATGAGGGCAGGGAGTGGGACCTATCTGGTGGAGGCTAGGAACGTGTGGTCACATGAAAACACTTCAGGAGGGAGACCAAAGTCTATTAAGTAGTTTATGGGGGGCTTATGAGCAATAAATTGTTCTCGAAAAGTCACCTGTAGATAGTACTGTATCACTGTGTGTTGTTTGGTAAACCAAATGATTTCATGTTGGGAGTTAACTGTCACACAGAGCCTGAATTTTATTCTTATATATTTTATAATAGCGTAATTGTTTTGGTGATTGTCGACGTGCATCCAACTGCGATAATGTTTGATTCTATTGGAGTAGAAATAAATTATGAAACACCAGGGGACCTGTGGACTACTGAAAATTCTAGAAAATATCATACAAAGGAGGTGTGTGTACTACACCTCGGTTTTCTAAGGTTCCGATAACTTGATGAAAATCTGAATTCAGTCAACCTCTTATAAACCATCTCTTTAACAAATAGTAAATATGTGGTGTGGATTTCAGTTTATCTGCGACTAGGACAGATGTGAAACGTACAATGTCAGCAATAAAAATCCAGTAATTCCAGTAATACTTATGATATCGGTTGACTAGCTACGTGGTAAGTTGCCGTGACTGTGACCTCGAATGTATTCAAGACTTAACCGAGGGAACCAGCCAAACTTCAGGCTCTAACAAGGGTGTACTGAACATATTTTTACCTTTGGACAGGTTTTCCAATTAGATGTACCGGTGTCCTACATCTGCCATATTCCTTGAGCTTAAGGCTTTGTCAATTGAGCGAGGTGCTGTGGTAATGTCTGTTTGTGAAAGGGGCTCTAAGGAAGTATCTTATGTTGACGAATGCAATATACTTAAACTAATGACGTTGTGTAAGAGCTTATATTAAGTTGTTATTTAAAGTAAAGACAATCAGAAAAACATAGTGTTACAGTTTTTATTCAATTTTGTCATATATATATATATGCTGATGTATGTGCTGATTTATGTATGAACAGAATAAGCTGGTTCGGTGTTTTCCAACTTGTGACACATGTCAAGTGAAACAAATAGGCAGAAAGAAATGGAGATGGATTGGCCATACGTTGAGGAAACCATCAAGTGACATCACTAGACAAGCCATCGCTCGAGTGGAACCCGAAAGGGAGGCGGCGAGTTGGTCGTCCAAGGGTGACTTGGAGGAGGTTATGCGAGGAGGAGATGAAAGCATGTGGACAGACCTGGAGCAGGGTGAAAAAGTTGTCAGAAAACCGAAGGCAATGGAGGTGCTCAGCTGAAGCCCTATGTTCCTCTAGGAACTAAAGGATACAATAATAATATAATAATAATTGAAAGTGGGAGATATGAAAGGGTTAATAGTTTTTGACGAAATGTGTGTCCATTTGGTCTCGCATGTTATATGAAGCAATATGATCAGTAGTAATGTGATGACGCAATGTTAGGTGAAGAGAGAAAGTCAATCGATGGCATTGTGAAGCTTTATGCACTGTCTTAAGTGCGTGCCATGCCACCTCCGTCTTCAATATCAGCAAAATCGATATTAACCTGGATGGGAGTTAAGCGTTTTGAGATGAAAATATGGCACCACTCCGTGAAGTCTTTGACCGACCGTTGGTTCGAGCGAGCTACGTATAGAGAGACGTGTAGACTGCTTGGCTAAAGTCTTGAGGATGTTAAGAATCAATTGTTGAAGATTTTTGGTGGTATGACTCAGTTTTCTTCAGAAGAGCGTGGATGTAACCATTCCTTGGCGAAGTTAGGGTGTTTCAAAAGTTTCCCTTCAAGAACCAATCAGATACAGGGAACTCTATGAAGTCAAACCTCCTCCTTTGGACTTGGAGAGGTGAATACAATATTCCACTTATTCTCTGGTTACTTTCTTTGAAAATCTATACTGTTAGGTTGGGTTATGACTTTTGAGATTAAGGTTTAGGGTGTAGGGTTAAGGTTAGAATTAGGGTTAAAGTTAGGTTTGCGGTTAGTGTCAGGAGTGGGTTAAGAAACAATGTCAGAAATATCAATTGATCTTAAAGTACCATGACCTACAGTCATTTGGATGAATGCATCTATCTCGCACGGTGTAATTTCTGTATATATCTTCTTAGTAGTGACTAAGAGACATTCTCACAACGCATACGCGACAACTATATAGTGTAGTATTATGTTTGTAGTGTTTCTTGGTGCATTTTTCAATGATTATGCGACTTTTTGCATCTGAATACCGATTGGATGACCAAGGTCACTGTAGTTTTGGCTATGATAGTTTAACTCTACCCATTCTTTCCCACTATCCGGATTGTGAAATGTCTCACTAATCTTCGCATGATCCTTCTTTCTCGCGTACGTTTCATAAACATTTACTTTTTCAAATTTTCTGAAGTGTAGCGATGTGAACTGATGCATTTTTGTGCAGAGTCCTACGTTAATGGCTCTTATCAGTATATATTATTATTGTTTCCTTTAATTGCTAGAGGAACATACGGCTTCAGCTGCGCGTCTCCATCGCGTTCGGTTCTTTGCTAGAGTTTTCACCTGGCTCCAAGTCTGCCCACATGCTTTCATCTCCTCTTCACATGACCTCTTCCAAGTCATCCACACCCTTGAACGACCAACTCGCCGCTTCCCTTCCGGGTTCCACTCGAGCGATGGCTTGTCTAGTGATGTCACTTGATGGATATTTTCTCAGAGTATGGCCAATCCATTTGCATTTCTTCCTTTATATTTGTCGCGCAATCGGTTCCTGGTTTGTTTGCTCCCAGAGATCCCTGTTTCTGATCTTTTCTGGCTGGCTATCTGATCTTGAGTATTGAGCGAAGACAACTGTTAATGAAGGTGTATAGTTTGTTTGAGATGCTCTTTATGACGCGCCAAGTCTCTGATCCGTATAGCGAGTAGCACTGACTTCACATTGGAGTTGAAAATCCGGATCTTATTTTTTATGTTGAGTGCTCTTGACCTCCACACAAACTTGAGAGTAATGAAAGCCTGTCTTGCTTTGATTCTTGCTTTAACATCCTCGTCATTTACGCCTGTAGTTGAAACGATGCTTCCCAGGTAGGTAAAGGAGGTTGTTTCTTTCAGGTTCCTCCCATTTATGGTGGCTGATTGTTGTCTGTTGTTGTTGCTGTTGGCCAAGATTCTTCATCACCTCTGTTTTCTCTCCAGGATGATGCGGCTTAGTATTTTGCTTGGGATGGACAGCATAATTCCGCGTCAGTTTTTACATTGACTTAAATCTCCTTTCTTTGGTAGTTTGAATAAGTATCCTTTCTTCCAATCCTCAGGTACTTTTCCCTCTTTCCACATCTCCAGTAATGGCGTCATCAAGTCCGCTGTTGTTCCTAGGTCCACTTTCAATGCTTCTGCTGGGATTCCATCTGGTCCTGCTTCTTTTCCAGCTTTTAGCATCTTGATTGCCTTCAGGACCTCTGATTTCGTCGGGGGGTTGATGTTCGCTGGTAGTTCTGCTTCCGTTGTTGGTATTGTTGGGCGCGTTGTAGGTGGCGGTCGATTTAGAAGTCTTTTGAAGTGTTCAGCCCAGTGTTTTCTTTGCTCCACTTCTTTGGTGATTGTCTTTTCATTGTCATCCCTCACTGACTGAATTTGTGTCGAACTTTTGCCCGAAAGGTACCTAGTTGTTTGGTAGAGTGTGGCGAGGTCTCCCTCGCCTGCAGCTTGTTCTGCTTCAATTGCCATGGCTTCATAATATTTTCTTTTGTCTTCCCTGGCACTCTTCTTCATTCTTTTGTTCAGCATATTGTAGCTTGCATTCAACTCCTGTTTTTGTTGCTCATCAGTGCACTGGATAATCTTTTGTTTCACTGTCCTTCTCTCTTCTATTAGTTTCCAAGTGTCCGTATTGAGCCACTGTTTGTCCTACCTCTTCTTTCTTTTGAAACTTCCATGCAGGTTTGACTCCACACCGTTTTCAAGTTGTTCCAGTGCTTTTCGATGCTGACCTCTTCGCAAGTGTTGATTTATGTCTCGGCGTTTTCCCTTATGCTTGCAGTGAAGTCGTCCTTTGTATCTTGGTCCTTCAGTTTTTGAGTGTTGAACTTGGCTTGTGGTCTATCTACAACTCCTGCTTCTCTGAAAGCTTTTAATTTGATTTGGATTGTCCCTTGTTCTAGATAGTGGTCTGAGCCAACGTCTGCTCCTCTTATTACTTTTGTGTGCAGTAGGCTCCGCCTCCACTTCCTTAAGATTGAGATGAAGTCAATTTGGTTTTTGGTTTGCCCATCTGATGACACCCATGTAACCTTGTGGATATCTTTGTGTTTGTATACGCTGCCACCAATCACTAGTTCGTTGAAGGCGCAGAAGTCGGAAAAGAGTTCTCCATTTTCATTCATTTCTCCGAGAGCTTCTCTACCCATGATGAGTTCCCTTCCTGTGCTGTTTGATCCCAGTTTGGCGTCCATGTCTCCCATTAGTATTTTAATTCACCAGCTGGAGTATTTTCCATTGCTGCCTGTAGTTGTCTGTAGAATTCTTCTTTGAAATAATAGAGAAGATTTGAAGCCCAGGTGGATGATTCGCAATTAGTAGTGTTCTCTGAGCTGGTTGGTTTAGTGCGGAGCTTTCGTCGTCCTACTGCACTGAAGATGTTCAGAAGGACGACGAAAGCTTCGCAACTAAACAAACCGGCTCATAGAACACTATTAACTGCAGAATTCTTTCTTTTCGAGGTCTGCGTTGTTTGTGGGTGCATAGCATCGTATAAGTGACACTTTCCTTCCTTTGGAATTGAATCTGGTGGTTATTATCCTGGGTGAGCTCGCCTCCCATTGCATCAGGGCCTTCGTTGCCGTTGGTGACATCATGATAGCCACGCCGTCGGCTTGCTTGTGGTTATCTTCTGGGTGACCGGAGTAGATCACTGACTCATCCGTTGACTATTTGGCGAGTCCATTCCCGTCCCATCTGCTTTCACATATCCCCAGTACTTGAATTCTGTATCTTTTCATCTCGTTTTCGATCTGGACAGCTTTGCCAATCTTGTACAAGGTTCGGACGTTCCATGTCCCCACACAGACTTTTTCTTTTGGCGCAAGGAGATTCATCGGACAGAGGTAGCTGTAGCAGCTTGGTTTACAGGGTGGGGTTGCTAGCCTCGTGCCTGATAAAGGGGTTGTTTCATTAAAATATAGTTTACCGAGAAGTATATGTATATGTGCATATGTATTCTAAATTTATTTTTATTGCCTACCGCAACTTCATTTTTGTGATGGTTGTTGAAACTCCATTTCAATCCCCTATTTGTTTCATATCTAAAACAATATAATTTTTTACAACAGTATCTCAGATTTGTGTGGAAATGTGGTCCGATAAAAAAATGAAGCCTTTATTATAAATGATTTCATGTGATTATGAGAATTTCAGTTCACTGAATGTGAAACCATGGCACAGTTGGTATTTGACCTGCGGGTTACGAATTCGAATCACAGACTACTCATTGAGGTTTGAGCACACAGTTAGTATCATTAATAATTTGTGCATATTCTTTGTTCACTAATCAGCTTTTTTTGAAAATAAGTGTCAGTCAAATTACTTTTCTTCCAGGCAATGAAGATAACCACTGTCCAATTGAATTGAAGATTATCGAGGAATCGAAATATTTCCCCAAACATCTTGTAGGCATAGCTTTATTTCGATGTCCTACATGTATTAGAGCATTTATAACAAAAGAATGCTGGTCTACCCATAAAAATGGATGTCCCAAGTCAAAAAACAAAATGAAGATTACTGATACTACTACTTCTACTAGTAATAATAATAATACTAATACTACTACAGATGAAGTAATAAATCCAAAACCATCGAAAAATAATGCTGTTATAAATCCTCGAAAACGTGTTTCACAACCATATTATAAAACAGTTGTAAATACTACTGACTATCTATACTGTTGTCAAGTCGGTAATTGTACATATAAGTCAAGTAAATTAACTGGATATCGTTGTCATTATAGACGTTATCATTTAAGTAGTAATCCTGATGGTCTATGGTATTCATGTCATATATGCACAGCATACAAAGCCGTAAACCTTGTACAATATCTCATCATTTAAAGACTGTACATTCATTTAAAGTGCCTGATGGATGTAGAAGATTTACGTTTACATTTGATGAATCTAGTCAAACTTATCAGTTAATTGGGCGACCACAAGTGGAAAAAAAGCGTTTGAGAGAATTAGCACCGAAACAGTGTTGATGTTTATGCAATATGAATTTGTACAGATAGTGATTTGATGTAAAATATTATTAATATATGTATCTACCTTGTTATTCTCTTTTCACTGTTACTAAAACTGTTACTAAACGATTGTGTGTGTGTGTGTCATTGGGGTGGTGAGTAAAGTTCAACTGTTGAAAGTAATTTGATCATAGATCCCAGGTATGTAGTGTTGATTAGTTCGAAGAGGAATAATGTAGACATTCTAATGCTAATATCATCATTATCATCATCGTCATCTAGAATAATATATAAGTCGAGAATTTGAACTTCAGCAGGAATTCTGAATGAGATAGAAGTCACATCGTGTGGAAACGCAAGCGATATTTATAGTAAGGAGAGGACAGAATAGAACTAGTGGAACTATTACTGAATAAGCTTATCAGTCTGTGTTGAACGTGATTTCTGCACTAATGTATGTGTTACACATACACAACAGTTGATTCAGGTGAAAACAGATTAATAATACGAATATTCTTAGCAGTCATTCTACACTTTTAAGTGTTGTTTTCACACGGATTTGATTAGTTTCAAGTTAGATCACGAATCTGCAAAAGTTGGAAATTATGAGCCATTGAATTCCATTCGAATGGTTGAGAGATCAACAAGTTCTTCAAATGACATGAAAGGTTGTAGGTTTGTTCCTCCTATGGGCTAATGCGTGCGTACCACTAAAGAGTTTCACAGACTGGGACGAAACAGCTGATTGATATCTGCTGGTGATCTAACTTGCAATTACTTCACACTTCTTTGCATTCACTGTTTTTCGTCGTACTATTTTAGGCTAGATATCATAACGGTACGAGTGGTCCTTTAGCACCAGATCTTGATGAAATCATTGGAGACTCAGATGAAGAAAGCCAATCGAATGAGGAGGTACTTACTTCCGCTGAATTATTAGAACGTTTATATCAAGTATGTTTGTGTTTTGTCCAGCTTGTCAAGAACTATGACACACTTTGTATAATATGATTGAGTTTTGAGAAATGTTTCATCTGTGGTTTTGATTCACGCATGTGTTGATAACCTATAGGAGACTTAGTTAAACAGACTAGCAGCTCAAATGTTGTTGCAAGGATGTAGCTCATTATCTTAAACACTCGGCTTTCAGCCAGTGGGTCGTGGGTTCGAATCTTTCCAGGTTAATTGGGTAGTAACACCAGCCCTAATACAAGTATTGTGGTTAATGGCTTGATACATAAGAAATCCATTCCGAACAGATGTTAGATGCATAATTTCTGTCCAATAAGGTGAATAGGAAGATGGATACAGAGCTAGCGTAACTACTAGTGTGGTGAGGGCTGTCTGCAAGCCAAATTTGTAGACAACAATTGATGTCAATGTTTACGTCCCGAACGAGGCTCATGAGAAAAACAATAACAAAGCTTAACCTTGAAAAAATTACCAACCAACCACAACGGAGTTAACGTGTGGAAATATTTTTCGTAGATAGATGGCTTGATTTTCCGAGAAACGGCTACAAAGAGATAACAGAATAACTTTCGACGAGAAAATAGCCTCTTCTCCATTAACAATAACAGGCCGGTCTTTGTCTTTTGATAGTTATGTGGCTCAGTGAAACGGAAGTTACCAAGGACGAATAACCATATGTAGCATTTCGGTTAAGTTGTCCATGGTGTTAATATGCCCGCGTATAAGTCCACCCAGTCATATCAACTGTCGATGAGATCAAGTTAGAATCGATCTTCATTTGAATCTGTGCCAATATTTGTTGAGTTAGTTGCCATTCCGATACTTACTAAAAGTAATGGCAATTTAAGCCGGAGGTTAACGATGCTGCATCCACAGTGACTTCGATTTGTACCGATTAGTAGCTTAGTATTTATTTTGGTAACTCAGTTACCTGGAACAGATTTAGTATATTCCACGCCATCTCGTAGAATTGTTGCATGAAGACCTAATCAGGTGTGGCATAACTTGAGTTTCGGATCTTTTAAGATGAAATCCTGTGTTTTAGCTAATTGCTTCACATATCCACACGGTAGGTTCTGGGTAATATTTCTAAAATAAACTGGATTGTTTTTGTGTAATAAGTGTATCGTGATTCGGAACTGTTTCATATACACATTTACAGATATGGCAAAATGAAAAGATTGCACCTGTACTGCTAACTGCACACTCTGACTTATTAGGTCTTATTCAAACTGAAGTTAATCAATTAGAGTCTGAAGCGAAATCTTTACCAGCTGGTGATTTAAAAGCTCAAATGAAACGAATTCAAGTAAGTGAAAGTATTCCAAATTGTGTTTCAGTATGCATATAATCCAGTGATGTATATGACTAGATCATTTAGTTATGACCGATGCACCTCACAAGTTCATAGCGTTAATCAAAGTCCATTGATTAAGTTTGTAAAATGATGAGTAAGCTGGGTGGGTAGTACTACATCGCGATTGTCGTCATTCAGCCTTAGATATTGGGAGTCAATCAACTTTAGGTTTTCACCCTTGATTTCTGTTATGATGTTGCGACCGTATAATTTCTCAATAGCCATTGATATTGAAATACGATAGGTGTTCCGATGCTGAGCACAGGCGCGCTGACCACTCTACCTCCTGACTATGCCAACACCATTATACGATAGCTACCTGTTTTCCCAGCCCGCTCTACGTAAGCGAGAGCATATAGTGATGTGAGATGGAAGGTATATGTAACAGTATCCGTATAAGTTTACTATAGGAGAGAACGATATATGTGTTGGGTAATGGCGTGTGCGTGAGAGATGAGGATATCGCGGCCACCTGCTTTAATCACTGGGCTACCAGAATTTCCATTCAGCGAAATGCTTAAACTCTTCTGGATTTCTTATTGTTTTAATCATGCAATTATGTCAGATGATCAGTGCATGAACCCGCGCACATATTTAATTAGCCTCCTGCTAAACATTGTGCAATTTTTGAAGGAAATGGGGAAAAGTGTACAGAATTAGTTCTCTCTTCAAATACAACAAAGTCATATCACATAGTTCAGGTTATTACTCTACCTGTAAATCCTTTATGAAGAGGAAATATTTTGAAAAAGAATGGTTACTGAACGGAGAATATTTTTTTCGATAGATTCATCATCAGGTTCTACAGTTGTATACACGTAACAGTGAATGAATTAGTGATACTAACAACATTAATGATGTCTAAATAACATCTAATCGATAATAATGATATCAATGGATTACAGTTTGATAGCATCAAAATAATAATATATTGAATATCAGAAAAATTAGGAAAGATAATAACACAAATTCATGAACTTATAGTGTCCACTGAAGGCTGGCCAAGGCAGCAGTAGTGGATAGATGGACTTGTTTCTTCTGCACACATAACACAGGTTGTTTCAGACGAATTGCGATAGCCTCTGAAGTTTTGAGTGTATGGTACCAGGATTTTTTCGGCAATTTGTTTGGTACCCGATAGATGATTATTAGAACTACAGTTTTAGCAGAATAAAATGGTACCATCTTTTATTTCGTTGCCTTCTCGTCAGCTGCTTACATGGCAAAGACATTATTAAATATATCTACAACAACAATTTTAACATACTTGCACAGAGTTCAGTTTAAACAAAAATCAATCGATCAATATACGCATACACTAAAAATATATACATATATGAATATGCAATATTAACCACTATTCCGAACAATAATAATCAAACACAATGGAAACTTTTAGCATTTCACATTCGGAGGAAAGAGAGGTGAAATTATCCAGTTACCAGGGCAAAGAAAGGCTGATAACCGCTTCTTTCTGGACGCATAAATCAGGTTTCATGCGCTTGATGGAAATGGCTTCAGCAAACTTAAGGAGAGTTGAGCTATTTTGCTTATTGATAATTTTGAACGACTTTTCAACGTCCACCTCATGACCCGTGTCGAGAAGATGCCTGGTGATGGCACTGTTTAAAGCATTTGTTCCCTTTAGACGTAAGCTTTTTGGTACATGTTCAGAAAATCGTAGATATGCCCTTCTTTCCTCCGAATGTGAAATGCTAAAAGTTTCCATTGTGTTTGATTATTATTGTTCGGAATAGTGGTTAATATTGCATATTTATATATGTATATATTTTTAGTGTATGCGTATATTGATCGATTGATTTTTGTTTAAACTGAACTCTGTGCAAGTATGTCAAAATTGTTGTAGTAGATATATTTAATAATGTCTTTGCCATGTAAGCAGCTGACGAGAAGGCAACGAAATAAAAGATGGTACCATTTTATTCTGCTAAAACTGTAGTTCTTGCATTGTTCAAATTCATTAAGGGGAATAAATGTATGAGATGATTATTAGTTTTGTGGCCGGCCGGTTTGTACCAGATGTTCTATACTGAGCTATTGGTGGTTCTCACTACACCTTTAGTTAGCCACACAGGTAGATGTTCTGGAGCTAGCACGAAAATACCAGTTTCTAGAGCAGCGGCCAATGTAACTCGTCCCACAAACATAGCTGTTTATGGTAACATTACTTTTTATACTGGATTATTGTTTGTTTTTCTAATATGATAACTATTTTGCCAAGTGTTTATTGTATTCCATTTCTGTTTTCCAACAGGTTGAACGAATCCGTTTTATTATTGCAGATTATATGCGGGTTCGTATTAAAAAGGTAATATTCAGTATTTGAATAATTAAATTTTGTTTTAAGTTGAAAATTTTTGAAAAGAATTTTAATGTACATGCCATTTTGGTGGTCAAACAGGTGTAAGGTGGGTATTTATTTAAAGAAGTAAAGTTACTTCATTCTCTCTTTTATATCTTGAAGTTACGTCATTCGATTTTGCGTATACTTCATTTAGGATATATTACTGGTTTTCTCATATGGTTGTGTTGCGTTTATTATTTGGTTGGAAACTACAATTAATGTATGTCATCGCCTTTTGCAAAGACCTGAAGACTATATGATCTGTTGTGTACCTCTTAATTAACTTCTGTGTTGAAACTCTCTCGGCAAGTGTTTGAAAAAAATCATTATGTTAACTGACTTTTTTTACAAGCTTCCATTATTATTGACAAGAGATCAAATGTGGAGATATGTGGCTTATCGGCCTAAGCATATGGTTTTCATCCGGCGGGTCACGGATTCGTGCTTCCTTGCCTGTGGAATTTATGTACACCACATGTTTAAAATTAGGGTTTCGCAGTTGCATGTCCACCAGTACGGTTGTAGACATCAACTGTTCAGACCTGCCCTTTCACCTCTGTCGCGTGGGGATAGTGAGTAGAGCTTAAGTGGTGGAGGCTATGAACGTATGGTCACATGACATCATTTTTAGGGCTAGAGTACAGTCTATCCACTGTAGGTCGTACCAGACCGTACCTGAACAACTGTAGTAGCCCTCACACAATAAGTGTGGCTCCCAGTCTGATACACGAAAAATCTGTCCAGGTCGTTTCATCTTAAACACAAAAGATCAAAGGTATTCGTGACTCAAACTCTTTCGACTGCATTGTTCAGTCATGTGTCACAGATAAAATGAGTGGGTATCGTTGATCCGTAAATATATATCAGGTAGCATCGTTATCGCAAATATCATTTAATTACTTTTCTTAACACTTTATTTCGTCGTCCAATACATGCTGATGATGGTGTTTGAATCGACGGTGTTTTTCTTTCTTTTTGAAAGATTGAAAGATTCGCTGAACATGTCTTGGCTGAAGAACGATCACGTAATCCGAATGATCCACCGCATTTAACTGTAGAAGAATACCTTTTTGCTAAATCGTAAGTTGACATGTTTTAAAAGGAAAATGAAAGGAGAACAGTTAATCACAGTGATTTTTCTTTCTGTTGTTGTTGTTGTTCCTGTAGATATGCAAACAGTATTCGAGATTATTTAAAGAATAATATTATTAATCGTTTACCGGCTAATATGCAATCTGTTAAAGATGAAGAATTAGGTGAGTCTATTATTCTGTTTAATTACTTGATAATGCATGTGTAATTGATGTAATGGGTGATGATTATTGGGTGAAATGAAAATCTAAATAACAGTAGGATCCCAAAGAGGCTTTCACTTAAGCCTTACTAGTACGTGAGAATTTAAGTATAAGATGGAGTTGCTGGAATTCTAGTCAGAAAGTCGTGACCAGCAGGGTGTTTCAAGTTAGATTTGAGAATACATAATCGCTCATTACTGTCTGGTAACGCCATTATATATCGCTGATTCTCGGGAGTTAGAACACATAAGTCATTGGGCTTCGTCTTAGCGGTTGAATGACCGTCGCCTTAAAGTCATGAGTCAGTTCTCAGTGAGTATCGTGGATGCTTGTCTCTGAAGGGTCCTTAACTAGGCCGAAACAGCCAGCCGTCCAGTTTTATGGGGAGGTCGAGAGATGTTCTGGAGGCGAAACCTCGCCTGGGGCAATTCGGATTCAGTAAAAGCACACCAAGTGCACCCTAAGTTGCAACGCTACATGTTATCATCGAACAGAGTCTACAACAGAAAACAAGACTACCTCAACTTCATCAAATTTCAAAAGTCCTTAGATAATGTCATCTGTGAAGTAATTTGGAGACTACTCGACACTACGGAGTGCTCCAAACCTTCGTCAACCTCGTTGAATAGCTATATGATGATGATGATGATGCCACATGCAGCTCAGAGAACAAAACCACACCACATGCTAGTGATTCAGGATGGAAAGCTCACCACAGCCTTCGAAGTGAAGACAAGACCGTCTACTGTCACTGATGATATTCCTGATTATGATGGGCTGGATCATGCGGTAGACGGTGAAAGGTGAATAGACAGACGTAACTTCAGCCAACAAGAAGACTCTAGAAGCTTTGAACTTCGCAGGCGATTTGTGTCTAATGTCACACAAACTCGAAAATCTATAGGCGGAAACCAAGAGGTTCGCAGAAAAGGCAGTGAAGGCAGGAGACAACAAAGATCGACCGCCATCCGTTGGGGAAATCTAAAGGAAATCACCTCTTTCAATTACCTTGCTGAGCAGCATCGTTTCAACTACAGGTGGCGCAGATGAGTCATGTTTAGACGAAGAAATCAAGTTTCCTAAATAGGAGAGATAACTTGGTAAAATTTGCGTGCTTTTTTATCAGCAAGGCATAGCCGGGTTCACCACTGTCTCTTTCTGTGTACGTAGATTTGGATTTAGCCGTTTAATGGCTGGGTTGTTATTGAGACGCTAAGGCGAACTAACGATTTGAGAAGAAAGAGAAAGGAGAGTAAAAATTTCGATTGAAAGTAAGGATTAACTAGAGACGCAAACAAGATGGACGAACAGAGTGAATTTATGCATAATATGATGTAAAGTTTAAGAAGGTAAGAGTGAAAAGTAGAAGTAAAATCATGACATAAACAAACAAGTAGTAAGTAAGTTTGGAAACTTAATACTGATTTCAAGTCAGTAAGTGAAGATCAAAATAACGGATTGAACTCCTTGGCCAACGATGATGATTTATCAATTCAAGTCATTGGTGCTTTCATATACCATAAGTTAAATGAACCCTAGACAGTTGTCAGCTGAAGAAAAGTCGTGAGACAAAATGAGCTCTTTTTATCTTGTTCGGTGTCTTCACGTCCTTTACTTCGTATAGACTAATTATGGGAACACAGGTGTCAAAACATATATTTTACTCCTTGACCACATTTATTGAAATTATTATTTTAACTTTCCTGTTTACTGATTATTGATTATAATGGTTGGTCTTTGTTCAACTAGTGTCTCTTAGTAAGGACATCTTGAGCATCAATCGTGGGATGTTTGGCATGCGATTCGCTCCTGTCAAATGTAAGATGATGCTACAGGACTAAACTACATGGACTCCTAGCTTAAAAAGTGGGAAGTTAAGTGCTAGAACGTGTTGACCACTTCTCTTATCTGGGAATTTTGCATCAACCAACGTCCACCAAATCATGGAATCAATCCATGAAATTCATTGCAGTTCGTTTAAGCAAGCCACGTGGGGTAGATGTAGACTGCGGTCTGGTTGGGGGTCTTCGGGATGATAAGATAATTAGTAACATGGTTAAAAATTTTTCTCAGTGGTGCAGATACGTCCACTCTTTGTGATATTGTAACAACAGAAGACAAGGGCCAGGTAACAGATCGTTTATTAAGGAAATCAACACATATTTATAGATTTTCATATACATATTATAGATTATTGTTAGCAGAAAAACACAGTCTTCTGATTAGTTGTTTCTCACAGAAAGTTAATTTTGCATCTCTTTGTGGCTGTTTCTTGAATTTCAGACCATCTATATGTTGACTGTATCCGCCTACGCAAAGGCTTTGTTCTCAGTGTTGGGGACATAAACATTGATGTAAATTACTGTCTACCAATTTGTCTAGCAGCCAGCTCTCACCACAATATGTCTTATCTAATAAAATTCTATTGTTCTTCAATATTTCTCTTCTTTCTCTTTCACGCTCCTGTTTGTTGTTTCTCTTTTGAATCTCGTCACTCTCTTCTATTGCTTTGTGGGCTACATGGAGTGTGTCAATTCGAACTGCTGCACTTCTGTGCAAAGTTCCATGTTGAAAACAGTCAGTCAGTAAGGACACTCAGACGATACCTTGAGATTAACGTGTGGACAAGGCTTGGGAGTATTGGGTTTGAGTCTGAGTAGGCACACCAGTGCCAACTCACCTGGCTATGCAAGTACACCCCGCTAAGGAGTCTCACAGATTGAAATGTGACTCCTCGATAACACTGTCAACCAGTATCAAGCAGAATATCAAAAGAATAGTATCACCTAAAGTATTTTTTCTGTTTGTTTTTAAAATCAACATAAGTTTTCTTTTTCACTTTCGTAAAGCATATCATCCAAATCCAAACAGTTATGTCTTCTGTCGATCGCTGAAGAAAATTGATTACATCGAAGCATTTGATTATAATACTGATGGTAGTCAAACGTAAGTCTGTTTATTTTTTCTTCGTCTCTCTTATACGTGTGAGAATTTATATTTTATCTGTAAATAACTGTGAATCGCTAAATTAAAGAATACAAATGCATAGGTATGATCGATTCGGTGAAATTTGAACCAACCAGTCATGGTTTCTGTAGGCGATAGATGTATTATGGAGAAATTTATAATCATTGGTATTCCCTTAGGTTCCGGTCAGAACATAGGGCTTCAACAGCACATGTCCATTTCACCCTGTTCTCTGCAGTCCTGTTTAGCTGTCACCACGATTGCCCGTAGGCATTTATCCCTTCTTCACCCGACCTCCCGCATGTCACCCTCACACCCAAACCCGACTCGTCGTTTCTTATTCTGGTCCTACTCGAGCGATGGCTGGCGCACCTGTCACCCAACGGTCTTCTCAGCGTGTGTCCAGTCCATCTCAATTTTCTTCGGCACATTTGTTAAGCAATAGATTCTTCGTTGGTAGGTAGTAGGTAATACACGGACAAAACGAGTGCCCCTGTAATGCTTGATTATCAGTGGTTGTCTAACCGAGGTTGTTTGGTGGTCAAACTTGAAATCAATCGGATCCTTGCAGGACAACATTTGAAAATTAATCTAGTGCTTACCAGTGATGGTCTACAGAATGTACTTGTAGTGGGAAGTCGTGATCATTGGGGTCCACCAAGCTGGCCCTGGGGACAGATACTCACCGCAGACATTAGATGTCGTTCGCGCTATTGATCACTGACTGGTAGAGTTTAGAATTGATCAGCAACTGAATTCCGTCCCAATGGCCGTGAGTGGTCAACGAACTGTACTTGTAACATGAATGTTTTAGGTTCGATTTCAGGTGGGAACATGCGTACTCACTGATGACGAGTCCCAAACAAGGATGAAACAGCTGTTCAATACTCTTTGATTTTCAGTGGTACCCTAGCTGAAGTTACTATGTGATTATACTTGATATCAGTCGAATCCCTGCATACCAACACTTCAAAATAAACAATACACCAATAACGGATAAATTGAGTTTCAATTCAGTATATAAGTAAAGCATTTCACTCCGAAAGGTTGATCAGGCTAAATTCATTGCCTAACTCCGAATCTGTTTTCTTATCCTCATTCTAATGGTCGTTTACACAAACACAGACACTCACTTCTATGAAAAACTGAAAGTTATTCAGGCAAATTGTAAATTAGAGAACTCGTTTAATATTCTTACGCTTATTCGAACAGTTTCCACAAGTAAACTATTTCTTCATTTGAATTAACTTAGTTTACTCTGATTGTCACAGCTTCACGATCATTGAGTCAGTCATCCGGTGTGAACCACTACTCTTTAACTACTCCTTACTTACCATACCTGTTGTCTATATACCTGCTTTTTCATTATCTTTATGTGAGAATAGGAAAACTCCATAGTGAAGAGAATTTTTGTTTTTTGATGAATTATTTTAGAAGCTATGCGATCGTTTTTTTAATATTCAACTGATAATTTATAAAAAACAAATGAAATTCCGGTAATTATTTTCCAGAAAACGCTCTTACATAACTTAGGGAGTAATTTAGAAGGAAATAGGTAAGTGTAAATTCAGACAGTATTACAGAATAGATGTCGGACCGAGTTTCCAACGTAGAACTTTGCACAAAAAAGTAGGTCAGTTCAAGTCATTGCTCAAATAGAACAGGTATAGATTCAAAAGAATTATGACGAACGGATATATAAGTGGAAAATAAGGATAATTTGATGGATGTTTGAGTTCATAAAGAATGAATATATCTGCTCTGTTAAGGACAATTTTGAGTCATGTCACCAGCAATCTTGTGACTATAGTTCCTAACGTATCGAGGGCCCTAAACAGGAGGTGATCTACACCTTCCCAAGTGGTTCAAACCAACAGTGAAAAATTTCGTGTTTATTTACACACTTATAACTTTCATCCAACCTAACTGGATATCAGCTAATATTAATCGATGAGGAAAGTAGTAGCTCGGCATGTGAAATATGCGTCTCAGGCATCCCGATTGATGCAGCTTCACTACATCACCAATCAGCGTTCTTTGGCTGCCTGCCACTCAACTCTCAACTTCAATATTACTCATATCGCTTAACACAAGAGATGGAATACAAGCAAGTATGGTCAAAACCAGTTATCCTCTTCAATTCTTCCATTTTCAACTAGCGCATTTCACATCAATAAAGAAGCAAAGAGCGAATTGTCCTGCTTCTCAGTAGACACGTCCTTTTTTGATAGCTGGATATCCATCCTACACCAGAGGTGACGTCATCATGGATATATGAGTCAACCTGAATTTCTAAAACTGGATATGGGATATGTAGTGGAAAAGCCATTAACAAGTCAAATCTATTTGAATAACGAAGAGTTATTTATGAAGTCTGGGAGTCTTCTTCAGTACACACGTATAGTTTCACCTGGAATCATAGCCGCAGGACCTTCAGGTTCGGGGGCAAGCATATCACTGTTCAGTCATTGAGACAGAGTTCACTGACCCATGATAAATCAAAATTTCTTTTTTGTGATATATCTTTTCATAACTCAATGTGGGAATTTAGCGTTCATTGTGCAGAACTTCTGGGAAAATAAATTTCATCAAATGACATTTTCAGCCTATTGAATATGTTATTGCTTAGAATCCCATCCTACTCGTTTAGATTAACATAGATAACTGAATAAAATGAATGTCAGTCAAGCAAGTATTGCCTTTTCGCAGTCACATTTCATTTCCTTTCATATCTAATGAATACATTGTAACGTGTGTTACTAGTGTCTAACCGTTGTCTCCCTCGATGAGCATTTCTGACTGATCAAATTGGGTTGGTAAACAGTTCCGAATGGTAAGACCGTTAGTGTAACTTTGATGCAATGAAGACTTTGATTGTTGGTAGAAGCCACGTAAGGGAGTATAAACCACCTACTTCAGGTGGCTATTATATTACAGCGAGATAAATATGTGGAAATAACAGCGATACGTAAATACAATTATTTAATATGGTACACCTATATAACTATTCTTTGTTGCCTAACAATGACTATTTTTACATCACCATTAATTCACAATATTATCGAGGAGAATGTTATATGCTAAATTATTTTGTTTTTTCTAGATGTCTGAATTAAGTAAATGTCTAACTAATTATCAGATGTACACACAACCTGCATTTTCTGTTGGAGACTCATATATGAATGAAGAATTTAGGAATTACTCTGAATCCTCGCAGGTTTCATTTTTGAGAAGAAGTAGTTGGCAACACTTTTTTTAAAATCTCATTTGCAATGATTGTTTTAATGCAGTCATTATATCTTTTCTAAATTTGTCTTTACTCTATATACACTACTGCATTTTTTGTGTACTATTAGGTCTGTGTCACTCACGTTGGAACCTGGTGCTCAACATCTTTTACCATACAGTTGTATTCGACCATATGTGGAAAGTGGTGATGTCATCTTGATATGAGTGAAGTTAACTAAATAATAATTATTATTGTTGATTTTTTGAACGGAGTTTAGTGATCGGTTACTGCATTTCTACAGAATTTTGCATTTAGACATTATATTTTTCTAAATTTATATTCATAAAAATCTATAGAGAGATTACACTTTCTCTTGTCTGTTATTACTCACTTTTGTGAGCAGGATTCTTTGAAAGTGTACAGATTAATTTTTTACCATTCAAAATACAGATGGATATAAAACTTCGTGAAACTGATCTTGATATTATAAAGTTTTACTATTACACTTTTTGATGGAAGTATTGGAGTTAGGAAACCACAATCCTCATGTGTAAATTGTTCATTATAGTTCATGATGGCTAAAATTTTATTTCGATAAAGTTATCCAGTAATATTTATTAATGACGTTTCGAGCACAGTTTATTGCCACTCATAATCATATCAAGGTACTCACATAACTCTCTTGCTTCGTTTATATTTCATCACTTGACTTGATTGGTAGCAGTACTTTCCATATTTCCGGTATGAGTGATGAGTCATTCCTATTGAACATGTTGGATGTAGACTCGATGAACAAGATTCAGTAATCAACCTCCTTCTCCACCTTCCTATATTACTTCTTAGAAGTTTAACCCTCCACCACCCTATTGTATGGTTGTGTGTTAATGCATGTGGTGCAATCTTTGAGCTTTTTTCTTTTCGGGGTAAACCAACCATTCTTACCTTAGCCAAATTCTTGTGTTCCGACAATCTGACCAATCCTGATCTACTAGTTTGACCTATATAGTTGACTTAACTCAAAGTCATTGCAAGATATTTTGCTTCGTTTCTATACACTGATGGATATGGATACTGTGTTATGGTGAGAGTCCAGTTAGTGCAACAAGCAAAGTAATACTTTGTATTTCGAATGGAAGTCAATATATATATATATATCACGATTTTTCTCCCCTTTGAAGTGTGAGAAATTTGTCAAAACTTTGCAAAGACAACAGTTATAGTCGTGTAGGTATCATGAGCACTAAAATAATTACTTATTGTCGATGATGTAGACAATGTCGTATGTAATCAGATGCACCGGATCCCAAATTGCTTACAGCGTGTATTGGTATACGTTGTCAAGGTGCATTTTCAAAATCAACAGTCAAGAGATTACTATTCCATTTGTTGCCATCACATGTTTGAATTAGACTATCTTCAGTGTCTATCTACTAAGATGAGTAGGCGGAGGTGTTAACAGAGGAATTTGGGCGGTGAATCGAATATGAAAATAGAGCGGTAGAGATGTCAGCGCCAAGTACTAGCACCGAAAATCGCAAATTTAATTGAGCGATTTCAATATTTACTACTTGGAATTGAGCGCCCTGAATGACAAAATTCACAAAGTATTCACCTCCAAGCAACTTCTAAAATGCCAGCTTCAGGTTCAAATATATTTGACACAGTAGGTGCTTCTGTTAGGAAAGCTGAAAGAGGGATACATATTCTGTTGTTCCGCGAAAGTTACTTGGGGTAACTAAATCGGACACTGTCTGTAGCGCACACATGTATACATCTGTAGACATCCGATGTGGCTATGGTAACCTCTTGCTGAAAATCAATATTTATTTCCTGCTAACTCAAGTACTATTTACATCATTGGATACTCTTGTTCCATTTCGCCCAGTTTCCCCTATCATAATTACCATTGTCATAGCGATCTCAAAAATGCTTTTCTACACGCCGTGGCTACTCAGAAACTCATGTATTGCAGTTGGTGTCAAGTTGTTCGTGAAAATAAGGTCTTGAATAATTGTGAATTTATGTGTTGTGTCCACCCTCCTGTTAAGATGGAATTCAAAATTCGAAGGAAACCTCGTAATGAACTCTATGATACTTCTGGTATATTGAAATCACCCTCAAATAACTGTATGGAAGACTATGTGTAGCATTAAAAATGCTCCTGAGTATGTTATCATAGTGTGGTGAGAGCTCTCTGCTAGCCAGAATTGGTAGACAGCCATATAAGTCAGTGTTTACATCCCAAATCTTGATCATGGGAAAAAAAGGACAAAGACTAGGATGAAACAGCTGTCCAGTACTCCTGGTTTTCAATGGTTCTGTAACTGATATCAATCCGCGATTAACTCTTAAAAACATAACTAACCTTTACAAACCAAACTATAAAAAAAAGACTGACTCAAAAACTAATGAAAGCAGACTGCGTGAACCGATTCGATTAGCAGAAATATCAACGGACTGTCCAAGAAACGCCTACAAACCCATGACAGGATAACCTTCAGCAGGAAAACAAACAAGTAGAGAACGTTACCTTTCTGCTAACAATGAGGAATAATAATGTACAAAAAAATCTATAAATATGTGTTGATTTTCTTAATAAATGATCTGCTGGTTGGCCCCTGTCTTCTGTTCTTATTTTCACCCAAACGAAGTTATTGTTTCATGACAGAATTGGGTAGCTGGATTGTCTTGTGCGTAGGCAATTCTCAGTATGAGTTATTGTTGCATTGTCACTGCCTATTCCTCTGTCCCCTCGAAAAATATTGTAACTATCGATTCTTAAGCTGTCGTTAGTGATATCACTCGAGAACGAGTTGTCGGTAGTCAGAATCAATTATGGTTTTCATTCAGAAGCTAATGCACGTAATGTGCTATTCGAAGGCGGCTTATTCTTCACCCTGACTAAAATCATATGTTGTATGCGTTTTAGAACAACAGCCTACCACGTTCAAGCTAATTGTACAGTCGAGCGTCCACACAGACAGTTGAAAGCTCGGTTATCAGCTGCAAACAATGCACATTGGACTGAATCACTACCGTTATTTCTCCCAGGGATCCGAGACCTCTTGATAACTGATGCTGGTTGTACAATCGCCGAGCTAGTATTGCACAACACTACGACCGCCAGGTGAGTTAGATTCTCCCTTTAGCATCCCACCAGCGGTAGATCACGCCTCATACGTCAGGAGGCTTACAAACACATTATGTTCAGTTAAACCTGCTACCCTTCGACCACAGCCAATAGACGTCTTTGTTCACCCGTGTTTGAAAACTTCGTCACATTTGTTCGTCGTGACTCTGTGCGTCGCCCTCTGGAACCCTTCTACGACGGACTATATAAAGTCATTAAACGTATGGATAAATTCTTCGTCTTAGACAATAAGTGTCGCGAAGACACCGCTAGCATCAACCGTCTGAAACCTGCCTACTTAGAAGGCAATCCTATTAGCCTAGAGGTTAGCATTCCTAATAATACACAAGTAACCGAATATCCGTTAGTCCTCGAAGAAGTCACTAGCGCGGCGAAATTCACCGAACCTACTGTCGAGCCCTCAAAGAAAACACGTTCTGGACAAGACGTGAGATTCCCAGAACGTCTTTACACTTATATCACATAACTAAGTGGTGTGATTCATCAAACTCTTACTCGTTTGTGGTATTTATTAATTTTTTTCTTTCAGTCACATCTATTTTTTATATTGCGTCCCGCAACACAAGTAAAAATCTTTTCTATAACCGTATATGTTACATCCAATAAAATAATTGGATATATACTTTCGATGTTCTGTTTTTCGCATTATTGTACTGTATGGTGTATGGATGCATATCATCTTGCAAACGGTACTTTTGGTACATCTTCCTCAACAAGGTTCTTAGCATTATTGTTTTCTTTTCCAGGTGCGATGGGCACTGGACAAGAAGCTAACGCAGCACGAGATCCAACAGACAAACATGAAGGAAGCGATGTACAGACACCCTATTAGCATAGGCAGACGACCAGTGGGGACTACATCTAGCCGCTCGTAAGCTTTTTGCCGATGAGGAAGCCATTGGGTTTTTTTACCTCCGACAGGTTTAGCCTGGGAATCCTCACAACCCCACTAGGGTGGGAGTGAGCTGTAGGAGAAAATAATTTTCCAGAATTATTGGCCACTGCATTCACCACTGAACATTGGATGCTGGCCTTCACTGTTTAAATCAACTTGTTTAGCTGAAGGCTGCCGGTCAAGCATCCACGCCACTGGGTACTCCTTCGTGTCATGGTCGTTCGTTCGTTCGTGCACGATTTCTAGCTAGCTAAGGAATCATCTCGCACTCTGATTCAGTCCCGAAATATACTTTGTAATTTAGACGATCGATTCTGGTGTTTTGCTTCGCCTTTGGTCTATGCGGAGCGAATACTATAGAAGTTGTGACTATTAAATCTTGCGTTAGTATGCTTCGTTCTGTCCATGAACGTCAATATGCTCAGGCTCGAAACTCACTTCGTCAATTATAGCACTAGTCAAACGACGACTTCATGTTGTGATGTCATTCTAAACTTTGAAGGATGGTTCACACATCTAAAGGGTGGTGATTATGGAAACCGGAGTAACACTTCTTCCTATCCGTTAAAATTATTTCCTTTGACGAAGCTTCTTATCAAAAATATGTAGCATTCCTATTGACTTTAAAGGGAGCTTGATGTCGTGTTCATTCTCCTCAACTGTCCTTCACGGATAATAGCATACAATAACTGCATATGCTTAAGCATTTTAGCCTGAACATAACAAAGTCTGTTTGTTTGAGGTGTGTACGAATAAGTAGTTGAAAAATATGAGTCAGTAGTACAACTTCCATATCCATCATAGACACACATAATTCCTGAAGGAGTTCAGAATACCTTGGTGATCTGAAAATGAGTGACTATTATCACTGGTATAACCCATGTGACAGGTGCATTGGTGGTAGGATATACCTGAAAGCTACTTTTCGACAAAAATGTCATAATAACTGTAATCGGTGTTATGTTTCAGAGGAACCATGCACAGCATTCTCCTTGTCTCAATGCACACTGATATCTAGATAAGCTGATGCCACTTGATGCGGTAGGCAGTTACGGTCTTTCATGTTTGGCTGAGAAATTTTAACCGTGAACCACATGGATATAATCACAGCAAAATTCAGCCTCTTGCCTCTTTCATTGTCTGACCACGATATGTCATGGACAATTCCATTTAATCTG